TCATTTCTGGGCTCTCTATTCTGTTCCACTGGTCGGTATGTCTGTTTTTGCACCAATACCATGCTGTCTTGATGACTGTAGCCCTATAGTATTGTCTGAAGTCTGGGAGAGTTATCCCTCCAGCCTCTTTCTTTTTCTTCAGTAATGCTTTGGCAATTCTAGATCTTCAATGTGTGTCTCTTGTGGGCAGCATGTAATTTTTCTTCAATCTAGTCTGACAATCTTTGTTTCTAAATTGCAGTATTTAGTCCATTCATATTCGGTTACCACTGCACTATTTGGTTTAAGTCTACCATATTACTACTTAGTTTCTATCAGCCCACCTATTCTACATTTCTTTTTGTCTTCTTGACATTTTTTGATAAATTCAATATTTGTCAGTTAATTTTTATCACATTAACTTCTTAATTATATATTCTTCTACCATTCTTTTTATGCTTACCCTAGAGATTACAGCACATTTTCTTGACTACTAGAGTATATTATAAAAATACTTTAACACTACTCAAACAATTCAAGTATCCTACAGTACTTAAACTCCATTTACCCCCTCCATCCTTATCTGATATTGTTATGTATTTTAATTCTATCTTAAATCCTGAAAAAAATTATTATTATTTTCAATCAAAATATCCATTTAGATTTCCCCACACACTTTTTTGACTTTTCTTCATTCTTTCCTGCCTCTCTGTGCTTCTAACTAGGATCATTCTTTAATATTTCTTTCATGGCAGATCTACTGGTGATATTTGTTTGCTTGAAAATATCCTTACTTAAGCCGCCTTCTTCATGGATACTTTCACTGGGTATAGAATTCTAGTATAGAACTTATTTTCCTACAGAAAGATGAGGAGTACATTTCATTGTCTTTGGGCTTCCATTATTTCTTTTGAAAAATCAACTCAGTCCTAGAGTTGCTCCTTTGAAAATAATATCTGGTTTTTCTCTTGCTACTTTTAAGAGTTCCTCATTGTCTTAAGTGTTAAGCACTTTTTTTTTATTATGTGTCTAGGTGTGGTTTTCTTTTATATATCTTGCTTGGAGTTTATAATACTTTTGGAATCTGTGGCTTGATACCTCTCATTCGCTTTTTAAAAATTGCAGTTATTTCACTCCCCAAACTACTGAACTTCCTTCCAATCTAAATGTAGGCTTCAATAAATTGTCATAGTTTTGATAGATTATAATGCCTAAACAGACGTGTGTGTGCACACACTCCAGCTTTCTAGTTGTCCTCAAAGGACTGTTATTCTGAAACTACCTAATAAAGCCATTCTACAAAGTGATCCTTTAAAAACTGAATTAAAAACTATTTAAATCATCATTTTTTCACCCGTCTGTAAATCTGACTTTAAGTTGTATCACTTCTGATTTGCCCACAATGTTCTCGAGTTGTCCTTTCTCTACAGCACTAACACGTCAAGTTACTTCTCATGTTGGGATCATTGCACTTCTCCTTTCACCTAAATTTTTCCAAGTAACCAACAAGATTAGTCTTTCTTGTTTTTCCATTTTCAGCTCAAATATCCTTTCTACCACCAAATCTTCTCTGATCAATCTAAAATACCCCTCCCAACACTCTATATAGCACCATTCTTCTTTCAATGGTATGTATATCATTTCTCACTACCTAATTGCTTCATTCATTTATTTGCTTGTCTTCATAAGAACACATCTCATCTATTTTGTTTATTATCATATCCCCAGAGCATAAAACAGTACCTAATCCTGTAGTAGGTGTTCCATATTTGTTAAATAAGTTAAAGTGTAAATGAATGAATGTAGAAATCAAAGGAAAGGTCATGCTTAGAGGTCTCAATTTGGAAGTCATCAGATAGATGGTATCCGAAGTCAAGAGACTCAATGAGATAGAAAATTAAATAGACATATTAAAAAAGAAGGTCAAAGACATGGGCCATGGGGACTTCCAACATTTTTAGATTGAGCAGAAGATGAGGGGTTAGCAAGGAATACTAAGAAAGGGGTTTTACTATAAAAGAGAAAAGATAAATCAGGTGGTGCTTAAAGGGATATGTACAATGGGGAAGAGGGGAGTTAATAAGAGACATTTCAGCATGAATACATGCTGAAGGGAATGATCTAGTAAAGACAAAGAAGCTGATGATGTGGGAGGAAAAGTGGACAACTGCAAAACCACAGTGTTTGAATACACAAGAGAGAGTGGGGTCCAGTGCCAAAACAGAGGAGAGCAGCACAGACAGTTTATCCACCAGAAAAGCAGTGAAGGTTAAGGAATATATGGAGTCAAATGCAATAGGCTGGCTAATCAGATATTGGGACAATGAAGAAATAATTTTCTAATGGCTTTCAAGTTTTCAGTGGAATAAAAATCAGGTCATTTTCTGAGATAAAGGAAAGGGAGCACTGCTGGAACTTTTGCCAGTGAGTACAAGAGAGTGTGGGACAAGAAATAGAGCGTGTATGCAAGGAGCAATGATGGAGATAAACTATAATGTCTAACCAAGCTGAAAAGGGAAGTGAGTACAGAAAGAAGTGAATTGTGAGGTCAAAGAATTATTGAAGTCTGGGTACAAGTGAAAGACAAAGAGTAAATCCTTGAGACTGAGATTTTGGAGACTGTCTAATTACAGTGAAGTCCAGGTCTGAAATATCACCACAGATATTAGTAGCTAAAAGAATCTTAAAATTCTCAGTGTATTTTTGTAAAAAGCTTATAACTATATTTTAATCTAGTCTTTACAATCTGTCCTTTAACCAGAAAGCCTGGTCCATTTTACACCTACTGTAATTAATGATAAAATTATATTTAATTCTACTCTACTCTTTCACTTTATACTTTGTGTTTACCCTGCCTTTTCTATGCTTCTTATTTTTTTTCTTCCCTGGCTTCTACTGAAATGATCAAGTTTTCCCCCTTTTTCTTCTATTAATGGTTTCAAAGTTATACATTTTTTTAGTGCTTATCCACAAGCTTATCAAAATACATATTTAACCAAGTCAAATATAAGTCAATACCTACTTCCTCTTACCAAAAATCCAAGGTCCATAAATGCCATAGATCCAGCTACCACAGTAATGCCTTTCACACTGTTATTTTCTATGGCTTCCAAGTCCTCAGTGAACTAAAAAATCAAGGACATCTTTGGCCTGGTTTTAAAAGTTCTAAAGCAGTCACTACGATGCTTTCATGTTAAAAATTAGACTGTATGGACATGCTTAGTAATTCCTTTGTTCACCAGTGAGATAAATTGAACATTCCTTAAACACTGTTCTTAAAGTGGCAAAGTGAAAGCTAGACAAGAAAATATCTTGTATAATATTGAAAAGTTAGTAAAGCCATTTGATCCAATCAAAACTTCTTTATAATACTAAAAATCTATTAAAGCCATTCTATCGAACTAAAAATAAAAAACTCAAGTAAACAGAGAGGAAGTTCACTGAGTGTCTCAGCCATCTGGCAAATTAGGATTCCGGAAACTGCCTTCCAACACAGTGATCACTAGCAAATTACCTTTTGGAGAATTGATTTTTAGCAAATTGGCATGAATAAACTTTCCTTCTTCTGACCAATAGCCTTTCGAAAATCCTGCCATGGACAATGGCCAGATTAGCAAAAGGATATCTTATCTACAGTACACTAGGGTCTGTGAGAGGATCTAAATCCTGCTGGGAATGGGTTCAAGGCCAAACGTTGCCAGTTTTAGTAACTAAGTCAAACTCTGTGTTGATCTTCACTATGTAGATAATAAAAGTTTTTCCTGGCCATCTTCCATTTTTAAAGCTGCACTACATAGGGTAAGATATGAATTTTAAAATGTGGAAATTCTTTATAATAAAGGATATAAACTACAAAAGAAAAGAAACATTAAAAAGGCACATTTAAATTTCTTCTTTCTAGGTTCCCATATACTTCAAAAAGATGTCTTCTCTTCTGGAAAACATCACTGCAATCATCGACCTATTCCATCAATATTCAAAAACCGATACAGAGACTGAAACACTGAGCGAACAAGAACTGAAGGAACTTCTGGAAGTGGAGTTTCGACCAATCCTAAAGGTAAAAGATATCTGCCAGGTCTGTAGTGCATAATATTTCCGTTCTGCATCAAAAATCTGTCAAAATATTATTGTGAAATTCTGCTCACATCTGTTTTGTAAGATGCACTGATTTAATCTTATTTCAAAATAGGTATATTTTGTTTGCCTTCTTTATGCCTCTCGTTATACTATACATACACGTGCGTGAACACACACACACACACACACACATCTGATCTGTGAAAAAACATAATATAAATAATTACAGACAAAGAAATGAATACTAGTTAGTTAATTCATTGTAATACTCACTTAAATTTCAAGAATGTAAAGAGAATATATATAAAAGAGAATACAGTTATGGAACTTATACACCATTTACATTTGAAGAAGTAGTAAAATAGAATTTGCCCCATCAAATTTTTCTGTCACCATGATTAATGTATATTTCTTTTAGTACATTACTAGCAGCTTCCTGTTAAGATAAATATTATTAAAGAAAAATTTGGTTGCATTTTTACATACCAAGAATTCATTTCCTAGATTAACTTTGTCTATTTAATTGACCATTTGAGTCACTCTCATGTACTTTCCCTCACTATCTTTCCTCTGTACAGAACCCAGATGACCCAGATACTGCTGATGTCTTCATGCATATCCTCGATATAGACCACAACAAGAAAATAGACTTTACAGAGTTTTTTCTGATGGTATTCAAGTTGGCCAAAGCATATTATATTTCAACAAGGAGACAGAATTTCCACACATCAGGGCAAAAGCAGAAAAAGTTTAGACACCATCATGAAGATGAAGAAGATGACATAGAAGAAGAGGATAAACAAGAAAAAAAGAGAAGATCCAGTCATTCAAGAAGCAGTGATGGAAAGGAGAAAGATAGATCAAGGAGCCCAAGAGGAAGAGGAAGAAACAGACATGGGTCCAATTCTGGAAGTAGAGGAAGAAGAGGGGAAGCTGTTACTTCTGGACGTAGAAACGGCTATGGTAAGAAGTCAAGAGGGGAAAAGAAAAGGAGATCAAGTTCAACTGAACTGAAAGAAAGAAGCCGAAAGTCAAGTGAAAGCCCCAACAGGGGATATGAGAGAAATGAAGATGAAAATGCTTATGAAAATAAAAGAAGAGTACGAGCAAAATGGGGAGGACCAGGCTATGAGGACTCATACGAAGTATGCGAAGAAACTACAGATATTACCAGAGATTTTCAATCAGAAAAGCAAAGAAATAAAAGAAATTCAGAGAAAATATCAAAAGAAAAAATTACCTTCATACAGAAAAATATACATGATAAAATCAAAGACACACAAATTAGATATGAAAACCCATCTCCTCCTTTCACAAATATCAGAAACGAAGTACACACTACTAGTGAGAACACGGACAGTGAAGGACGCTCAGAAGACTCAGACAGACAGCATCAATCTGCATCTGGAAAAGGAAATAAATACGACGGAAACACAAGTCATTCACAGGTGAACACGGAGTTCTCTACAC